TAACTGGCGCTCCCGCACACACGCGCACGCACAGCAGGGCTGAAATTAGCCTGGGTCCACACACAGGGGGTCTCACAGAGGCTCGACATGCCCCCCCAGCTATCAGTGTGTTTGTGCAATCTGGAGATGGTAAACATCACCGCCGGAGACTCATACACTCTGCAAATCTCCGCCGCCTTGGGCCAGCGGCGTCAGGAAGAGCAGAAAAAAGACAGGGAACTGAGACAGGGACAAAATCTCGGAGTAACAATTTTGGGTTAGCAGCGAGGCTAATCTTATCTCTGGTGCACGGGTACAAATTAGCAAGCCTTTTCCTGACGCAGGAAAAGCGAGCTTCTACATGGTTTTCGAGGGCGGCATTTATTGTCCTTAAATACATGCGCAGGCAGACTAAATATAAAACAAGCAAAGCCACAGGTCCCTATGTGGAGGAGAAGGAGAGCCACAGATGTGAGGCTAACGCTAACGAGATGCTAAAGTTGAACCAAACAGGGAGTTTCACTTAAGCGCATTCCTTTCTACACCCCCGTCACTGGCATAACTTCAGGAATGGCAAGGCGAGAGAAATAAACAGACAAAGAAAGCAGGAGTGCCAAAAAAGCTTAAACCTAAAGCAACAGTTTTCTGAATTTAGACAATTTTACGCCTTACTTTAAATGCAGTTGACCTGACAAGGCATGTTCGGTGCTGTAGTTTTGGATTGGAGCTACGAGGCTAATGTAGCTAACAAGTAACAGAAGCGATTAGCATCCAGTTAGCACTGTGTAAGGGTCATTCTACAGAAACGTCCATTTTTGTGTCCCTAGCATTTACGAATATATTACACCTTAAAAAACATGTTAGGGTTACAATTTATTTATATATTAAAATAAAACAATGTTATTTTGACAATTATACCTTCTTGAGCCTCAATTCAGCAATATTGGTTTTTTAAATCAATTAAATAGAATTCCAAGCACCACAGAAGAGCTCGTCCTCACAGTCATGTGTGAAGGCTGAGGCCATATTTTGAGGTAAAAAACATGTTTTTTCTGCTATTTTAACTACAATAATCTATACATGACAATGGAATATATAAATTAAATGTCAAAGAAAATAAATGCCAAATAAATATTATAAAATATATAATGAAAGTTATTGTCCCCAGGAGTCGTGTCACTGGTGTTACCGCGTAACAAAAAATCTCTTATTTTGGAATAAAATCACACTGATGACATCACTTGACAAATGGATTAAATTACATATTTTAGTGGATATTCCATGATTGACAACATGTGGTTTGATGCTCTGTAGCAGCCGTTTTGTAAAATGCATTGTTCATTAAAAAAGTCTCTGGTGTTCCCTTTCAAATGTGTAACACCAGTGAGGATCAGTAACACCAGTGACTCCTGTGGATAGATAGAAAAGTGGACGTTTCTGTAGAATGACCCGTAAACTGTGTAAGCTGTGTTACAATCTCTCTGGTTGGTGTCTCTGTATGACATACTGTTATCTATCGAAATGGATAACAGTATAAATAATCAAAGTAATTAGCATCCAGTTAGCTTCGTGCTTGTCTCATTCTGTGATTTAAGTAAATGATGATTTCTGGCACTGAGTCGATACTGATTTATATAAAAATGGACAAGCAAAATTTTGCCTTCAAGATGGCTGCTGCTAATGTTTTTAGCGTAACAACATACTTTTTATTTTTAGATTTTTATGTATAAATAAGAACAAACACTGCACAGCTAAAACAGTAGTAGCAACCATTTTCAGGCCTTAGTCTGTACTTTTTATAAGCTTTAGTTTAAGCACTGTGAGCTTCTATTACATTTTAGCTAGTCTCATAACTCCAAAACTAACAAAGCAGACTTTGGAAACCAAAGGTGTGGGGTAAGAGGGAAACTATAAATTTGCTTTATTATGCTCACAAAGCGAGATTTTAGCAGCCTCTGGCAATCACACCATCTTTTTAAATTGCAGATATGCATAGTATGTTTGTTAGTTTGTTCCCATTTTAATGACCCATTTTAGGCGACTTTTTAAAGCAGTTCTGAGTTTTTAATTCTGTCAGCCTGCGCTAACAAAACAGTGCTGAGCTGAATGCCAAATGACCATCTCTTGAGACCTAGTGCACCATTAAGGATGGAAAAGAAAAGCTTTTGCACTCTGTATATTGCTTAGTTTCTCTGAAAATACATAATTGTAGACCTGACTTGCCAAGTTTTTACAGTTATAGTACCATGAACAGCTGCCATAGTACTTTTTTTAATTATATTTTTTTAATTCACAGTTCAGTTATACTTCATATTACACTTCTTGGTGCTAATAATATCACAATCAAATACCAAGGGGCTACCCGTTCAGCCTACATGCTGAGATTGATTCCTTATTTGAAATGTAATCTCTAGGCCACTCATGGTACCTTTAGCCCCTCCTCTACCGTTCCCAGCATCTCCAGTTTAGACTCTCGTCTAATCTCTGTCCCACAGGGAGCTGTTCTACCCTCAGGCATATTTACTTTGCCACCAGCCCTGGCTGTGATCCAGAACAATGGAGCTCAATGTAAGACAACCCAAACCCTGACAGCACTCATAGATCACTGAGGTCACCGAGGGCGGAAGACCAGGTCAGGTGCTCCTGGTGACCTGCATCTTTTTGGGTTAAAGGAGGTGCCGGCCAGACTACTACTCGAGTGTCACGCCCAGCTAAATATATCGAGGTCAGCTATGTAAGTGGGCAGCCCACTAATTTGAGCACCTATCGGCACACTGAAGGAAAATTCAGTTTCAAAACTAAGATTGTTATGAACAAAATACTATTATTGTGATTATAATTTTACACACTGTGATTGAGATGTATTACAAGCATGCTGGCGAATCAATTATGTGACATACTTAAAAATGGGCATGCTTTATTTCAAAATTCATATATTTTGTTGGATTGCATGAATACCTCATTTTTGAAGTAGGATTTTGGCCTAAAATTAATGATTTTGTATACAATCATGGTAGATATGTACATGAAAGCTGATGTAAGGCAAGACAGTACCCAAAGAAAGCTTATTTTTCCAAATTTACCACTTTTATACCATTATCAACATTGTATATAAAACTCAAAATACAAGTTCACTGGCCATAAACATCACAAACCTCAGTTCCTGTCACCGACACTGTCAAGACAATCCCAGTTAGAATGTGACTTTACAATGATATGTTTCATATCAAACCATCCTGAATAACTTTACATCTCAACCGCTGAAAAAAAGAAACATTGGTGCAAATTTCAAAATTAATATTCTAAAGCATTAAACTATAGTCTTAACCATAAGCACTGAGCTTTTGAGAGGCATCAGAGATCATTTATTGGTTGCAATCGAAATGCATAAATGATAAGTTCCCTATGTGGACCTTTGGGAGGAGCTGGCAAATTTGGCAGAAAAACACTGACACTCGTGAAAGATACCAAACAGTGTTGGGCTGCAAAAGAGTTAACGTTCCAGGCAGGCTTAATCATGTTTTTGCAGACTGGATTTGCAGCCAAGTTTAAACCAATCTCAGCTGAGTATTAAATTGGATCAAAGAAACAATTTTGCACAAGTTGCTTTATTCTTCTCCCTGTCTCTCTAATCTGGGACCAGTTAAACCCTCCTCTTCTCCAAAACAGAGAAAGAGACTCTGAACAAAAGAGGTGCAAATGATCAATAATGTCACATCATCTGAATGAGACCGAGCACAATCTCCATAATACTGGGGCGAACACAATGACTGGCAGATGGTCCTGTAGGGGAAGAACCCCACGCCAGCGCATCCTGTCATGCTAAATTTACCACCACAGAAAGTGAGATTTCCCTACAGGGATGCCTAACAGCCACAGCTAATTTATCCACCTTAATAAAGTGCCCTGCTCCACCTTCAACTAAATGAATGCTTAATTTAATACATACTTTTTCTTAGAGCGGAGGACTTAGTTCAGAGTAAACTTTTCAAAAACGACGTTCTGCAGAAGTCCAGACCACAGAGTGCATGCATGCTAAAAAGCTTATGTTTTATGTATGACATTTTCATGGGCCCATTTGTACATTAATTATGTACGCTGCGGTACAGAAATACATTTTTGGAAAAAGGCAGAAGCCCACATTAAGCCACAAGTTAGAAATTCAGTACATATTAAAGAGGAGGGCTGGCTGTATGCAGCAAACGTAGGGCTTGGAAAGACTGGGTGGCAGTGTTGCTCTGAGTCAAGTGACCGTTGGAATTCCAGACTGCTTATTTTAAGCTTTTTTTGGCACAGGTGCTTGCATGGACCATGGCCAACTGAGAGAGGTATTAATACTTTCTTTGTGTGGCGGTAATGAGGCCAGATCTTGACTTCTGCCACAGAAATGGGTTTTGGTTCAAACAGCAAAAGCTCCTCTATGCAAACTTACAGAGTAGACCAATGAACTCCAACAAGCGCTGGCCCAGATACCTAAATCATATGTGCAGTTTGAAAGTATGTGGAGTATGGAGGAGGAAAAGAAGAAAAAAAAACTGAAGGAAAAAGGTAGGTGGGACTGGGGGGGTTGAGGGAGAGAGTTGGCAAGAAGGCGGGGGAAGTGCACAGCAATCCTCTTAAAACCAAGGCAACTAGCTTGGAATGTTTACGGCACGTCTGAGAGACAGCTGCTCCATCTGTTCCTGCCATCAATTCTGTCTCCTTACACCAAGAAACCAAATGATGCTACTCAACAAATTCCTGCAGCCAACAACCAACCTGCATGTGCACCTGACCAACAATGAGCTGGAAAAAATTCCAGCCCCTCCACACACAAAATCTACTTGCTAACACCACAGATGCACATTCTGCTGTATCACCGCTCAGATTCATGCATAGGCGATTTGTTTCATGAAATATTCATGGCTAGACATAATAAAGATTCACTCACACCCTCCTTCCACATTCCACATTTGAGCTAGACCTGAACAGTAAAGCAAAACATCTATTCAGAGCAAAGCAACCAAAGCAAAGCAACTCACCGGTTTCTTCATCGATGGCAAAGATCCCCAGACCAGATCCATCCCGAATGGAGTAGCGGATCTCCCCGTCTGTACCTTTGTCCTCATCCTGAGCCGTGACTTTCATGACCGATGTTCCAATTGGCACATCCTCTTTGATAAATCCCTTATCCACAAATGACGGGAACCACGGACGATACAGGTTCTCATTCACGTCAACCACTTCCACCTCAATGTGACAGGTTGATGACAAGGAAATTGGTTTGCCTTTGTCCTTAGCCTTCGCAACAAGACTGTAAACCTGCTTTTTCTCATAATCCAGATTCTGCACGATTCGCACTGCGCCACTCAGTTTGTCTACTTCAAATTTTCCCTCACCATTGTCCACAAGACTATATCGTATCTGACTTGATGGCCCAACATCAGGATCATGAGCCTCCAGCCACATTATAACTGTACCAATAGGTAGGTCCTCACGGACCTTTACCCGATAACTGGGGGGAATGAATTTTGGGGGATTGTCATTGACATCTTCCAGATTGATTTTAAGCGACACAGTGGTCACTAGTTGAGGCTCAACAGTAGCCTGGTCACGGGCTGCTATCCTAAGCACAAATCCCGACTGAACTTCACGATCTAACAGCTTTTTGACTGTAACAACTCCAGTCTCCTCATCAATGGCAAACTGATCAGTGTCTGCCAATATAGAGTATCTGATAACACCATTTTCTCCAAGGTCTTTATCTTTAGCCTCAACTTGAATGATCTCAGTGCCCACAGCTGTGTTCTCACTTATTTCCACTGAATATGAGTCTTGCAGAAACTGTGGGCTGTTGTCATTAGCATCTGTAACCTTGACATCCAGCAGGCGTGATGACGACTTCTGAGGTAGTCCAAGATCGTACACAGTAACATTGAGTGTATAGTGATCGGCTGTTTCTCTGTCAAGTGGAGCATACACCTTCAGCCAACCATCATCCATATCAACAACAAACCGGCTCTCTGTGTCGCCACCTGATATAACATAAACGAGTTTCCCATTGAAACCACTGTCTGAGTCTGAAGCACTCAAGTGCACAATCCGAGCACCAACTGGCAGGTCCTCCTTCACCTCGACAACACTGGGGAAGGAGTCTGCAAACTGAGGCGCAACACGGTTGATGGCATGGATGTCTAAGAAGTTCTCATCTGGTTCCCCTTGGCTGTGGATCTTGCTGCCTTGCAGCAGCTTTTCCGCCAGCATAGTTGCTACACCAGTGTCAACACATTTGACTTGAACTGGTTTACGCGCCGTGATGACAGTTATGTTCAAGAACATTGGCAGAGTCTCATGTTCTCCATCATTGGCGGTGATTTGCAAGCTGTGGAAGGACACCTTGGCCGCCTCACCCTCGCTAAGGGACTGCTTCAGAGATAGCACACCCGAGTTGGGGTTCAGCTCAAACAAATTCAGGTCATTGCCGGCTTTTATCACATACCTGACCAGCTGAAGCTCATCGGCATCAATTGCTGACACGGTTGTGATCTGTTCTCCGGTGCCGTGGTCTCTGGGAATGGTCACTTCACAGTCCACGTTTTCAAAGAGTGGCTTGTTGTCGTTCAGATTGCTGAGGGTGATCATGACCTGTGTTTCCACCTCGCGGCGAAAAGGTTCACCCCAATCTGATGCTCGCACACGTAAATTATAAATCCTTGGCATCAATTCGTAATCTAGTTGCTCTGAGGTGCTGATGACACCAGAGAAGTAGTCGATAACAAAAGGCTGGGGGTTTACATTAGCTATGCTATATGTAACATAACCATTCTCTCCACTGTCTAAATCAGTGGCTTTTACTGTTAGCACACTAGTGCCTACAGGCATGTTTTCATCAACACTGGCTTTATAAGATGACTGCTCAAACTCTGGAGCATTATTGTTAACGTCAATCACATCAATGATAACTTTAGTGGCTACTTTTTTGTCACTAGTAATAACGTCTAGCTCATATCGGGGCAAATAATCAGCATGGATGGGGCCAGCTGTGGTGATTAAGCCAGTGTCAGGGTTGATTGCAAAGTGATTTTTGTCTAATTTTTGTTTGAAAGCATACTTTAGTTGGGGATACTTTGGCACAGCTGTGACCATCACAACAGGTGTGTGCAGTGGAGCAAATTCACTTACATTCACCCTGTAAACAGCTTGTTCGAATTTAGGAGGCCCTACTTTGAACTGTGGGGATGTAATATGGATGACTTTAGCAGAGGAAAACTGAGGTGGGCTACCTTTGTCCTTAGCTTGCAGAGTGAGATTGTAACCGTAAGGCTGACTATCCCAGTCAACTTCCTTCACTGCTTTAATTTTGTATTCCTTACTGCCAGGACTGGTCCTCATAGCTCTAAACTGCTGTAATGGGTCTCCTGCTACCACGCTAAGAGATGCTATCTCGCCGTTAGCACCCTGGTCATCATCCTCAACAGTCACTATGGCGTAAGTAGGGTCTTTGTCAGCATCTGAAGGTGCCAGGGTAACAGCAGTGATGACAGGAGCATGCTCATTAGCCTGCTCCACTCGTACCGTGAGTTTAGCCATGCTACTAAACCCACTGCTCCCATACAGTTTCATACCACGATCTACCGCCAATATCTCCAATTCATACTGCTTCGTCTCTGAGTAATCTAGCTTCCCAGTAAGTGTAACCACACCGCTCGTGGGGTGGACTGCAAACATGTCGGTCCACTCTCTAAAGCTATAGTAGTATTCTCCGTTCGTACCGATGTCAGCATCCGTTGCTGTAACCTTGGCTATGCTGGTGCGGATCGCGGTGTTCTCGGGCAGGGATACGCTGTAGGAGGTGGGAGAAAACAGTGGTCGAAGATCATTGGTGTCCAGTACCTGAACCCTGACCCGTGTCCGGGCCTCTGCGTTTGAGTTCCTTTCCACAGCTTTGACCGTGAGCAAATAGTGGTCTCGCACTTCCCGATTAAGAATGGCACTGCTGCCTCCTTTGGTCCTTATCCGCAAAAAGCTAAAGTCTCCCAACTGATATTCCTCGGCTTTGAAAAGGTTCTCGTTGTCGCCCGACACAATTTTGTACCGTATTTCCCAAGAGGGGTTTGTGATGTAGATGCCCATTTTAACCTGGCTTTCCAAGTAGGTCTTAGCAGCAGAGTTCTCGAAGATGGTCGCATTGTAAGAAGGATGAGTGAAGTGTGGGAGAGACGTGGTGTCCAGCCCTTGGTTCTGAGCACAGCCGCACAGGAGCAGCAGCTGCACCAGCAGCAGCGAAGTCAGCTGGTTCTGCATGGTTGCAGAGCGCACTTCACCAAACCACCTGCAGAAGAGAAGAGGAGATAGATGAGAAATCTACCTTCTTTGATTATAAACATCAATATAGTTTCTTTATTTCCATAATAAATAGCTACAGTTATTAAAAGTAATAAATTCAATCAAACAATCTGTAACATGAACTTTGTTTATTAAGGGGTGGCTGGTTTTAGAAAATAAGACCAGATGGTCAAGCAAGCACTACACGCTGTACAATCAATCGCTCAACATTCATAAAACGTTCCAGCCAATGCAGCGAATGTTAATGGCAGATCCAGCCTAGCGGAGCAGATATGATTAGTGTAGCAGTGAGCGTAGTGGCAGCGTTGGTTTCCTCCCTGTCTGCGCTTGCAGCCTTGCTAGACTCAACAGACGCCGCAAAGGAACACAGTGTGAGCGATTACCGGCAGTGAACTCTGGGAGGATGGGAGCATTTGTCTTAGATATACACAAATATACACATTCCTCCAGCCGTTGTGGGTATAAGCTGTTCTGAGATTCTTAATCTTCAGACCTTGTTTAGCTTGGAACTCCAAGTTCCCCAGAGATATGGGTTCAAAGTCATTACACGGAAATAAATGAGGTCCATAGATTCAACTATAGTAACACATTCTACACGTTCTTACACTAAGTAATGACAGCGGACTGTATGTGGTGCACCAAAAAACAGGGAAATTTCAACATTTCTGAGAGGTGTACACAGAGTAATTCAGAGTATTTTAACATGAGTTCTTAAAATGATGATAATAGAAACCAATAGGAGCAATGTCTGTGACACAAATATGGCTATTTTGTTTCCCAAAATGACCAGCCTCACAGCTTTTTCATACAAATTGCTGATAGTGGTAAAATAGTGGCATATCTGGGGAAAAAAGCTTTTTTTATTACCTTATAAAGCCCTGCATGTACCACTACAGCATGAATGCGTTCTAAAAAATACATTGTAGGCTAAAACTACTGTAAAACAGTATGTCAGACCACTTTCATAACCGTTTCATGTGAGTTAGCATTTAGACCTATTAAAGTCTTCAGACGTCTGGTTCCTATCACCACCACTGTGAACAATTCTGACCAGTAAGCTTCTCTGGAACGGAGCATTTTACACCACCCTGAATGACTTTGTTTACTTCTCGGTTAATTTAATTACGCATAATTATGTTTTAAATCTGCATAATTCCACTTTTAATGTATGGTTTGGTCTGCAGGTAACTATTAATAACAGGTATGAAGCTCAACAATACATGGCCAATTTTTTTGCTCATGCTAAGAAATCAACAGAAACAGCACTGAAAAAGTGGATCCAGCTCTCCGAGTAAGAAATCACATGTGTTCAATCTAGATCTGAGCAGTGATTGGAAAAAAAGGTCTTTTCTGGTAACCCTGGTGGACCAGTCCATCTGAAATGGACAGGATATGGTAATTCAATTAGGCTACCTATTCATTAACCCACAATGCATTTAGGCAATTTATATCCTCATGCTTAATCACGACGCTGAACAAACCCCCAGTTTGAGCCTGTAAAACTTCCTCCAGCTGCCTTGAAGAAAATCAGGCTGATTCAAACTTTCTTCTCTCCCGCAAAACCGCACTTTACAGTAGTGTGGACGCAATAAACACGCAAACCGCACAAACAACGCAGCGTTTGAGCGCAGATCCACTTTTGAAAGTAAATTTGGGTGACAAAAGCCGCGTCCCCATCCCCCCCCTCACCCTCGCGGGCCAGATGCATGGGGGTACTGCGCACGAGCCAACAATAAACTCGGCCAAAAACAACCTGGACCAGATTTAAACTGATCCGCGAGCGACGGAGCAACAGAACAACCCTAAAGACGCAGATCGAACACTTTACCAGCTTTTCTTTGCTTTTTTGTGATCAACATTTTATTAACATACAGATCACAAGAACTATATTCACAAAGCCCGAGATATGCCCACAATAGTAATGAGTTCATATCATATACAGTTAGCAGTAATATTGATAATAATAGTAGTGATAATAGAGGAAGCAACCAGCCTTTCGCCTTTGATTTCACTGGCAACAAATAAAGTTTCAGCCAGTTTAAACGTCCACACAAACGCGGAAAGCTCGCGCTTCAGAAGTTTTACTCCCTTTCAGTAAATCTGTAACTCTAAACGAGTCTTAGTTGGTCTTAAAACACGTAAAATACGAACAAACCGCGCGTCCGTACCTTTTTCCAGTTCTATCGTCCCTCGCTCGGTGGTTTTTCCTGTAGTTTATAAGTTCCACATTTCTGCATCGTACCTTTCTGCTGCTCTCCGCGCGGACACTAAACCAACTCACGCGCAGTTCGCCTCTCAGCGCGAGCCTCCCCCCCCCACGTCTCTCTCTCTCTCTCTCTCTCATAATATTACTCCGCTTCTTCTCCGGATCTACTTCCCGCTGGTATGAGAGCGAGTCAGCGAGCCGCGCAGCGCGGAGGGATTTTTAGGTGACTGTTTGAACTCGACAGGAGAGATAAAGCGAAAAAGGAAAGACAAGCGAGTGATTTGTGAATTAAACTAGTCTATTAGATATTAAAATAGGCTACTAGAGTCGAAAACACGACCACAAAGCAGAATCGGAGCAGGAAAAGTATGAAAATCCACTCATTTAAGCCACACAAGAAGTTAATATTTACTGTGTGTGGAAGACAGGGCTGCGCTCAAACTTCAAAAGCCGCATACGGGCACTAAACCCGTTAACTACTAACGGTGGTGTACTCCTTTCGCTAATATTCAGCGTGTTAGTGTTAGTATGCGGTTTTGAAGGTAGCCCAGTAGATGATGGAGATGAATGGTGAAGACGGGCTGAGCAGTGAGAGCTGGAGTGCGTCAGCGCGCAGGTAGGGGGCGCTAAGGCTGCAGCTCTAACAGATGGAATACATTCACAAGCACGGTGTGGAGTAGAGAGAGAAGCACTCCATGGCAAGGGATAGAAAGCACAGCAGGGAACCAGGAGGATGATTATCCCTCACTACTACTACTATCACTAATAATAATGCCAACAATAATAATAATAACACTATTAATAATAATAGCAGTAATTTTTTTTTGCTGAAATGTCATGTTATTATTACTATGATTAAGAATAATAATAGCCTATTATTAGGCAGTAGTAGTGGTACTAATAGTAGTGTTATTAGCAGTAGTACCATTTTATTAATGATGATGATGATGATGCTTCTTATTATTATTACAATTATTATTATTGCAGTAGTAGTAATGAGCGTATTATATTGCACATCATGCAAAATATTTGAATGCATTTTATTACTATTTATTATTTATTATATTTTTATTCTATAACAACAACAATGCCAATAACAGCAATAATAATTATAATAATTATTATTAATATTATTAGTAGTAGTGGTACAGTTATTAACAGTGTAGTACCAGTAAACATCAGTGTCATTATGATTATTATGATAATTATTATTATTATTGTTATTATTATTATTGTCATGTCTTCCTCTTGGTGTTGACTTTGCCATTCATTATCTTTCCCTTATGCGCGCGCTCTCTACTCACCACACGCACGGCGGTCCGCGCGCCGCTTCAAACTTCCGCTCAGATGAATCCCGCGCTCATCCCTCCGCTCGAGCAGCCGGTGGGAAACAAAGAGTGACGGAGCCTCACGGAGTCCGAGCGCGCGGCGTGGGGATCGCAGTCTCACCGTTCATCATTCACCGTCTCGCATATCTGCTGCGGTCCCTTGCGCCTCCGTCTGCGCTGCGCGAGCCTCACTTTCAGTGGAGGAGTGTGGGAAAAAAACACTCTCACACAAAAAAGGGGGGTCCTGACGTCACCGCTCCTTCTCCATCCCTCACTCAGTGCTCGGAAGTTGAGGTGTCATTGCTTGAGTGCGTGCACTCACCATACCACGCCAGCGACCCCAGGGTGCTGGCATTTGGTGGTGGTGGGGGGAGGGGGAGTGAGGGGCGCATGTGGTAGGGACCTCTACAATCTCTACAAAGAGGTTGCAAATTGTGTCTATGAAAATTTTCAGGGAGTAAAATAATAATTAATGTGTAATGTGTTTGTAATACCTGTAAGTTCAAATTTGGTGGCTTTTTGTTTGGTAACCCAGTAACAACTCAGTGATGTGAAATTCTATGGGAACAAATGTTCAAGCATAGAGTTGAACTTCTAAACAAGTTGACTGAAATATATTAAGCAATGTTTATGATGTTTAATGGCAGGACCACAAACTCAAAACAAAGTAGTTATACAAACTTAATACAAACAATTGCAAGAACAGTGGTGTGTGCATGTGTGTGATTGAAGATTGAGTGTGCAATTCAGACCGCACAGCAGTTGTAACCATGGTAACCTAAAATAACCCCATGGGGGCAGGCTTTTTTCATTTACTATTTAAGCTTTTATTTTCTGGCAGGAGTTGCATATTGAATTGATGTAAGATATTGGATTACAGTGGTTATTCATTCAACTGGGAGTGATAATGGTCACCTTGACAAAGCTGAATTAGTTTCTTCTTCACCTGCTTGTAATTTTAATTTTCCTTTCCACCTTAAATAATGCAGCATTCAGCTGATTTGCTAAGTAGAGATTCATTTGCATAAGGAATGGCATGGTCCCTATTAAAGGTATCCATTTGCATGAAGCTTGCAGCCCGAACCGGACCCATGCCCTTGACTTTAAGGCCTGATACAACAAGGCCTGACTGGTACTGCTAAATCTGAAGCCTGAACACAACTCAAACCCGCTCGCACTAACAGTAGCCACGTTTACATACAGCCTAATAATTTGTTAATAATCTGACCAATAGCTCAATAGGAATAGAATACGTCCATGTAAACACCTCAATCGGAATAGACTTGTCCGATTGAGGCCATTCAGAATACAATTTCTATCCGATTGAACGAGGTGGGTAAACCTGTAAATAATCCGTTAAATAGAAAAATAATATCCGTTTAAACGCCTGTATCTGATTACATTCCCTATCAGAAAGTTTAAGTACGTTCTGATCATGTTCGTCACGTCATAGTGAAAGTTTATACCGTTCAACATGGCGGAGCAGAAACTGGTCTGCAGAGGAGATGAAGTTTATACTCTGGTCTTTAAAAGACGGCGGTGGGACGGACGTCCAGCTTATGTGTCTCAGAACACGACGTCTTCCTCTCAAGCGCTGCTCACTGCTGCTCATCTCACTCTGACTGGACTCACATGATGTGTGTTGTCATGGTAACGTCTACACTAAGCGGTTCTCTATGGATGCATGTAATTGTGGATCGGATTACTTGTAGTGAGCATGTAAACAGAGATTTTTCATCAGATTGTTGAGTAGAGTGAGAATATAAACAGTCTTAATCTATAATCAGAACGTATTCAATCGAATTGGCAAAAAACTTTGCATGTAAACTGATGGATTTCTGCAGACATAGTTTTACAGTGCAAGTGCTTGAGTTGATTGACAGAAAATGGCTGGGATAAACTAATATTTTACACACCTGTGATATACTTTCAAAGTATTGTTGTACACATAGACTACACTCCTAGTGCACAAGAGCCAAAATGTGTGAGAGCATAATGCTTCATATAACAAGGACACAGTGTCATTGATGTAAAGCACCGCTCTTATGAAGCGCAAGGTCTGAGTGATAAGGGCACCCCCTGCTGGTCAATCTCCAGCCTGCTAAATGTGAGTGAGTGAATTGTGAATTACACTCCAGGTCCATGAGGTGCTTCAAATGTACTATAAACACTGTTAAAATTTCAAAATGAACTATTCAATCCCCAGCTATGCATATATATATATATATATATACACTTTCTTAGCCTGAAGCAGTTTAGCTCTGTCTCTGGAGAGATGTGGCAACAATATCGGGCAGCCAATCAGAACGATTTACATACGTAATTTACATTTTGAACACCCCCAGTCAAATGACCTTTTTTATTATTTAAGTGAGACATTTTCTACAGAGAACACACATAAGTATAGCGTTTTTGTACTTTTGTAGTGCACAATTACTATATATTTGCTGAATTTAAAATATTGGAAAAAATCTAACTTCTGCATAGGCCACATTTTATGTTGTAGTTTTTCCATTATGTTTATAATCCGCAAGTAAATAGTAATTGTGTATTAAAATGTGTGGATGTGTGTTCTCTGTAGAGGATAGTAACTTATTTGTTAACTTATTTTCACTTAGAAAATTAACAACAATGTGTCATTTGACCATGGCCGTCCAAACCTTTGCTTATGACATATGCATATGTATATCAGTGTGAAAGACAGAGTGACAAAAACAGCCTGTTTAATTCTAAAGGATGAGGACTGTTTTGGTAATATGTGAAAAAACTAAATAGAAGGATTTGGACCTTTTAGAAATAAACTGAATTTTCGTTGGGCTACCTGAGTTGTGTAGACCCTGTTTTCTGTCCAAAAGCTTTGAAATCTGAGCAGCAGTTTTGGAAAAACATGCAAACACTTGAAATATCATTTGACAACCATATGACAAACCTCAGCAGCTTGTGTTTGTGCTGAATGTCTAGAGAACTCAAGGCACCGAGGAGGAGCTGAAATGCAACATGATTCTTATTGAGTTAGCTTTCATTAAAAGCACATTTGCCAAAGGGCCTGCCTAAATGAGAGGCACCAGATCTTTTACTGGGGGAGGGGGTGTTCCTCCCCATTCCCTCAGTCCAGCACATGGACATTCAAGTCTCGTGCATGGAAACCTCCCCCAATGCTTTTCTACACACACACATATGCATGTACACACCAACCCCCCCCACGGACTGTCCATAAAGGTTTAATTGGATTCCGGTCAGGTGATATAGGGATAGCGCCGGTGCTTTTGATCTTGGCAGTGTCCAGACATTCCACTGTTGGCCCAGGGCTTTGGGAGCAATGGCTTTGAGAAATAACCACACAGGGAGGAGGTGCATGCACTGATAAAATCTCCAGCCTGGTACAGTCATAGTACACACCAATAATCCAACTGATATTTTTATCTTTTTATCTGTGCTTCTCCTTTGGCTTCAGTTGTCAGAGTATTATTTTTTTTCTCATCGCAAGTTAACAATTTCCTCCACTTTCTTTTCCCTGATCCAGTAGCCAGAATAGATATCGGGATGATACCAGCTGAAAATCAGATCAGAAACCAATGGAAACAGGAGATCATGAGTTTGATCCCTGGTGATGCTACAGCCATCCATAGCTGGGAATCCAAAAGAGCACAATTGGCCTCACTCTCTGGGTGAGTGACATAACAGGTCTGGCAGTTGGCGCTGTCCTCCGAGCACGTTCGGCTGTCCAACAACGTGGTGTCATGACTAAATTTGGAAAAAAATGGGGGGAAAAAATC